GTATCACTATGGAAGTAGATTGCCCAACCTTCCTTCCGAGGAGTGGCTGGTGGGTTTGAACCACCAGCCTTCTGGTTAGCAGTTGAGTGCCTTTAGTACTACGCTACCAGAGCTCCTTAGAGTGGCACTGTTGTTGTTGTTATGTGCCATCGAGTTGGACCTGACTCATAGCGACCCCTCCTTGAGTTTCCGAGGCAGTATCACTATGGAAGTAGATTGCCCCATCTTCCTTCCGAGGAGTGGCTGGTGGGTTTGAACCACCAGCGTTCTGGTTAGCAGTCAAGTGCCTTAGGCACTATGCTACCAGAGCTCCTTTTCCTGACAACAGGATTTGGTTAAAAAAAAAAAAAAAACAAAAACAGCTGTCTGGGAGCACACACAGGTGGTGGTCTGGGGCCCCTGCCTGATAGGGACTTGGCACCACTGAGTCTAAACCCAGGCACTAGAACCTCTGTTTCCAGTCACATAACCCCTGTCCCCAATTCCTCAAACCCAGGTATAAATATCCCCGCAAAATAGGAGGTATTAGCAGTCATCTTGGCTCCATCCCAGCCTGCTGCCACTAGACACTGAATATGCTAGCAAATGTTTGTAAGCCTGTTTTCTTTTATCTTTTAAATCCATTCTGTCCTGATTCTCTTTGTTCCTATTCTGAATAAACGTTCATGTCACTACCCATGCATCCAGGGAAGTTTTTCTGACTCTCCTCACCTATGCAAGAGGAAGTTTAACCTCCCTGGGAAATTCCCACAACAAAACTAAAACCATGTCATTTTTCTGATAGAAATTCTGGACAAAGCAGAAAATTAAAACTACCCATAATACCCCAAGGCCTAACAGTTTGGGGTAGGTTTTGACTAGTCTTTTGTTTGCTTGTTTTTTAATGTATTGATTTCTTTTTCAAAATCATATATACCATTCCATAACCTGCTTTTTCCAATTTCATAAAATTTCCTCATCATATATTCTTTTGCTATATCATTTTAATGGCTGTATATCTTCCATAATTTCATCAGTTTTCTATTGCTAGTTTCAAATTTTTCATCTATTAAAAGTATATGCACACATTGATCTACAGGTGGATAGCTGGGTAGACAGGCTGAACGGTTAGGTATGTCTAGGCATGGGGCAATGTGCCCATAACCATGGATAGGGTTAGCAGATGGTATTTCTATATGCGTTTTTGTATGAGCTGTAAGAATGTCCGGGTATATAATAGAGCTGACAAGGGGCAAGGCTGTGGTGGCTTCTTGGCCACAGCCAGCTACCTGGTGGGAGCAAGTAGTTGGACCTGTTGGCTCAGAACTATGGTCCCAGGAAACATCAAGCTCAATTGGCATCATATAATACACAAAAACATTGTTCTACATCCTACTTTGGTGAGTAGCAACTGGGGTCTTAAAAGCTTTCAAGTGGGCATCTAGATGCAACAATTGGTCTCTCCTCATCCAGAGCAAAGAAGAATGAGGAAAAAAAACAAAGATGCATGGAAACCACTAGTCCAAGGGACTGGTAGACAATATGATCCTCAGCTTCTAAGACCATGAGACCAGAAGAACTAGATGGCACCCAGCTAGCACCGTCAGCCACTCAGAGGAGGATCAGTGCAAGAGATGCTGGATAGAGTAGGAGAACAATGTGGAACAAAACTGATTAAAAAAAAAAGACCAGGTTTGCTAGTCTGATAGAGCCTGGTGAGACCCCTGAGACTATGGCTCCTAGTCACCCTTCAGGTCTGGAACTGAATTCACTCCTGTGGCTTCCAGCCAAACAGTAGACAGGAAGATGGGGTGAACATTTGCATCAGGTAGATACACTCCTTGGAGCGATCAATCAATCCTATGAGAACAGAAGGGCAGTGTATGCACAGGGAGACAGCTGGGGGTGGTGGGAGTGTATAGGAGGGAAGGACACAGGGAAGAGAGAACTATGGGGAGGAAAGTGGGAAGAGAGTTGCTACATTGTGGGGAATTAAAGTCAATGTTGTGAAACAAAATGTGTATAAACTGCTTTATGTGAATTTGCTCTGTAAACTTTCACCCAAATCACAATAAAAAATTTGTTAAAAAAGTGTATACACATCCTTATAGCCAAATATTTACACATTCATGAGTATTTAGAAGAAATTCCTAGAAGTGAAATTGTGAGTTAAAGAGTGCACAGGCATGGCTATAAGCTCTCCAGAATGGCTCCCTGACTCCATCCTGTTTAGCCAAATAATGGAAGGTCATCCCTGCTCCCTCCCCTTCCTCTCTGGTGCCACATTCCTTAGTTTATTTCATCACAGACACATACTGCCAGACAGTACTCCTACTCCCCTATGGGCATTGGGCACCACTGCCCTCATATCGAATTCATAACACCTGTATGTTAGTTCCTCAAACAGAGGTATAAATATCTCTGGAAAGAGGAAGGGGTTTAGGGGACTACGAACCTGACCAGCTGGCTGCCCACTGGACGTCCTAAGGCCCTCCCCCACCCTTTAGAATAAAGTTCTTTCATGTCTCTGAGTGTGCCTCCCTTGTCATATTTTGGGTATCTCAAACCTTTTTGCGGCTGTTGCCAACAACTGAGACAAAGAGAATGCATCTTTCAAATATTTTTATATAGATTGCTCTCTGAAGAGATCATGCAATCATACCAGTTTACACATCTACCAGCAATACAGTGTAGGAGTGTGTATTTTCCAAATCATCTTTTACATGGGACATCATGTAAGAAAAGTTAAGCCGTAATGGTATAGAGCACAAGTTATAAACTCAGACTGCAAAGGTGTGAATGTCAACACTTCCACTTTCTAGCTGTGTGATCTTCAGCAAATGAGTTATCTAACCCCTCTGGGTCTTAATTTCCTTTTATAAGGGTCTTGTAAGGATCAAGTGTTAAATATTATCTACACAACAGAAAATAACAAGTGCTGGTGAAGGTGTGGAGAAACGTGAACTCTTATACATTGAATGCAAAATGGTGCAGCCACTGTGGAAAACTTTTTGGCAGTCTCTCGAAAAGTTAAACACAGAATTACCATATGAGTCAACAAGTCTGCTCCTAGGTATATATCTAAAAGAACTGAAAGCAGGGACTCAAACATACTTGTACACCAGTGTTCACTCCAGCATTATTTATGGTACCCAAAAGGTTAAATAACTGAAGCACCATCAACAGAGGAATGAATAAACAAAAAGTGGTATATATACATTGTTGTTGTTGTTATGTGCAGTGGAGTGGGACTTGACTTGTAGGGACCCCTCCTTGGGTTTCTGAGGCAGTATCTCTTTGGAAGTAGATTGCCCAACCTTCCTTCCGAGCACATACAATGGAATATTACTCAGCCATAAAGAAAATGAAATTCTGATGCATGCTATAACATGAATGAGCCTTGAAAACATTATGCTAAGTGAAATAAGACAGACACAAAAGGGCCTAATAGATATTGTATGATTCCACTTATGAAGTATCTAAAATAAACAAATGCAGACAAAGAGTTCATGGTTACCAGGGGCTAAGGGGGAGGGTAACTGGAGACTTACACTTAATGGACAGAAATTATGTTTGGGGTGGTGAAAAAGCTTTGGGAACAGTGGTGATTGTCAAAAAAATATTGGCTGTTATTAATTTCTTTAGTTTCTGGGACTTTTAAATGCACAAAATATTCTGTAAAGTATCGCACAAAATCAGAACAAAAGTTGCCTGATTGAACAGTGAGACATGAGAGCATTGAGAACTGGCTAAAAAGACTTGGATGGGAAAATTGTTACCAAAAAAACCAAACCCCTTGCTGTTGATCCAATTCCAATTCATAGCAACCCTATACCACAGAATAGAGCTGCCCTGTAAAGTAATTTAGGATTATTATAAGTCTACAATCTGCCACAGCAGCTGGTGGGTTCCACCCGACATTTTAGTTAATAGCTGAGTGCTTCATCGCTGTGCCACCAGGGCTCCTTCTGGAAAGCTCTTAAAAGCATGGATTTATTGGGAGCAAAGGCAAACCCAGGTTTTTTGGGTGCTGAACTTTATACAGTTTGCAGGGTTTCCTAATAAAAAGGGATACAAAATTACAAATGTAAAGTCAGGTACAAGGTCTTGGAAGGGGCCTAAAGATTAATCATAGAAAATCCATTAGTGGTTAGAAGGAATAGCTTACGGGAAAGTGGGAAAGAGGGCAAGTCCAGGAGGAGACGTAGATCATGTGTGCCTAAATGGAGCAAAGTGGAAGCCAGTATGCCAAAATAATAACTGCATTTCCTTGTTGGCTATTTTTATGCCTGTAAGCAGGAGCTCAGTGGTCACATAGTTGCTCTTAAGACGCCAGGATCTTTAGATGTGTGACTACAATGCAACACAGAGACAAGCAAACCAAGATGGGTCTCACTTTTTTAAAAAAGGCCTAGGATTAATAACTGGTGTGAATTACTCAAAACAATAAATCTCAATTACGGTCCTGCATCCTTCTTAGCCCCCAAGATTTTGGCAACTGTAGGCTTTGCTAGGTGCCAAGTTCCTTAAAGGAGCTCTGGTGGCCCAGTGCCTAAGCATGTGACTGCTAACCAGAACGCTGGCGGTTCAAACATACCAGCCACTCCTCGGAAGGAAGACTGGTCAGTCTACTTCCCTAGTGGAAATCCAAGGAGGGGTCGCTATGAGTCGAATCCACTGATGGGAGTTTGGTAAGTTCCTTAAGAGACAGTTCCAGTCTGACCCACTCATCCCAGCTCACAGTACTGAGAGGAAGTAGGAAGTTCTTTATAGACGCAGAGATTCTCAATACAGGCGGCTTTAGGCAAGTTCATGGATGTCTGTTTTCGCTCGTGCTTGCTTTCAACGGCATACCCCCAACTGGCTGGACTGTGTGGCCTTCCCATCTCCCCTGAACAGGCTGCTCTGGCCCCGAGAGTTCCTGGCCCTTGGCCCGCAAATAGGGAGTTCGCCACTAGAGGACCTTTAACCTATTTCTCCACAGCCAAGGACTGAATTCAAGGCGCAGCATGAGTGCCTCTGCCCCAGCTGTCCTACGAGCTTCCTGGATCTGCCGATGGCGCTCGGAGATTTTGGTGCGGTTGCAAAGACCTCCACAGCTGAGGGCCGGTGGCCTAGTCTCTTGGACCCCAGTCCGGATGACTGCAACTCTGATCTTTGAGCCCATGGGCCGCTGCGGCTGGGACGAGCCGGTGCGCATCGTGGTGCGTGGGCTGGGACCGGGGCAGCCGGTCACACTGCGCTCGTCCCTGCGGGATGAGAAGGGCGTGATCTTCCGGGCCCACGCGCGCTACTGCGCGGACGGCGGCGGCGAGCTGGACCTGGCGCGCGCGCCCGCGCTGGGCGGCAGCTTCGTGGGCCTAGAGCCTATGGGCCTCCTCTGGGCCCTGGAGCCAGAGAAGCCCTTGGTGCGGCTGGTGAAGCGGGACGTGCAGACGCCCTTTGCGGTGGAACTGGAGGTGCTCGAGGGCCACGAGCCCGAGCCACGGCGGGTCCTAGGCCGGGCGGTGCACGAGCGCCACTTCCTGGGGCCGGGAGTGCGGAGGGAACCAGTGCGTACAGGCCGGGTGCGCGCCACGCTCTTCCTGCCGCCAAGTAAGCCACCAGTTTCCCTAATTGCTTCTGCTTCAGTTGTCTTGTTTGACTTGCTGTAGAAAGAGGAAGGACGTAGCTCCCAACATTCCAGAGCTCCGTGGAGTTGAAAAAATATACTTGAGATGTCAGAGCCAGGAATGTAATGTAAGGCTTCCTGGGGAGGTGGCGCTAGCGCTTCAAAACTTTCTGAGGGTTCCTTAAGATCCAGTGATAAGTTAAAAAAACATCGTAGGCTGACTGTTAACCAGAAGGCTGGCGGTTCAAACGCACCAGCCACTCTTCCGAAGGAAGGTTGGACTACTTCTGTAGCTATACCGCTTCGGAAACTCAAGGAGGGGTCGCTATGAGTCGGGTCCACACTACGGCACATAACAAAACAACAAAGGAAAGGAAAGAGACATATGAAAGGACATATTTGCAACACATAACCTACAAAGGATTAGCATAAAAAATATACATGTACATTTAAACTCATCACCAAAGTGAGTAAAACAAAAAGCTCAGTCTTAATAGCTCTTAACCTGGCAATACCATGTCTAGTCATCTGCCTTATGGAAATACATGTTGTTGTTGTTATGTGCCGACCCCTCCTTGGGTTTCGGAGGCAGTATCACTCCTCGGAAAGAAGATGGGGCAATCTACTTCTGTAGTGATACTGCCTCAGAAACCCAAGGAGGGGTCGCTATGAGTCGGGTCCGACTCAACGGCACACAACAACAACAACAACATCACTACGGAAGTAGATTGCCCAACCTTCCTTCCAAGGAGTGGCTGGTGGGTTTGAACCGCCAGCCTTCTGGTTAGCAGTCAAGTGCCTTAGGCACTACGCTACCAGAGCTCCCATGGAAATACATAGCCAAAAAGAACAAAACCCTGCCATTGAGTTGATTCTCATAGTGACCTCACTGAGTTTCCAAGGCTGTAAATCTTTATGGAAGTAGATTGCCTCATCATCCTCTTGTTGGAGCAGCTGGTGGGTTTGAACCACCGACCTTCTTGTTAGCAGCCAAATGCCCTACCCACTCTGCCACCAGAGGGTACAAAAACATATTCATTAGTAGAGCAATTGAAGCATTATTAATTTTTTAAAAATTGAGACAATTCATATATTCGTTAATTGAGGAATAGTTCAAAAAATTATAACACATTCATTCCATGGAATACTCTACACTATTAAAAATAACAACACACATCTATTGAGTGATAAGTTGCAGGATCACCATACTTTATAAATGAGAAACAAAGACAACTATAAATGTGTATAGAGAATATATGAATTTATATTTGTGTTTTAGAGAGGTTGTTCTGGGGAGTGGGATTTAGAGTGAAGTGAGGAGGGACTTTTTATTTTATACATGTCTCCATTTCTATCTAAACATAGTCCAGCTGCAACTCTTGAGTCTCTGCACACCCAAGACCTTCTCTTCTCTCAGTCTTCCCCCTTTTAGTAACTAGCAGGGAGTACTACTCACCTAATTGCTTAGACCCAAACTCCAGGATTCTATACAAGAAGTTATTTATTTCTTCCCCTAAGTAAATCTGCCTTTAATTGAAAAGAAAAAAAAAAAAAACAAGCATAATTACTTCTGTTGAAATTGTTATTTTTCAACTAGCAAGGCAATGTTGTTACTTTTGGATTTTGCATTATTTAATCGAAATATAATTTAATACAGCAAAATGTGACTGAATACCCTCTTTGGTGTACAGTTCTAGCTTTGACAAACTTAGTCATGTAGCTACCACCACAAACAAGATGGAGCATTTCCATCACCCCTCAGAATTCACTAGTGCCCCTTTGTAGTAAGCCCCTCCTCCTACCCGAGCCACTGGCAAAATGGATCTGTTTTTTGCCCCTATAATTTTGTCTTTTCCACAATATCTTATAAATGGAATCATGCAGAATGAGTATGTAGCTTTTTGAGTCTGGCTTCCTTCATTTAGCAGTATTCAGTAGCAGAGTCCTTATGCTGTCACATGTATTAGTACTTCCTTCTCGTTATTTCTCAGTAGTACTCCCTTGTATGAGGCACCATGGTTTTTTCATTCACCACCTGAACAACATTTGGGTTGTTTCTAATCTTTGGAAATTATGAATAAAGTCAGTGTAAACATTTACGTACAAATTTTTGTGTGAATACAAGTTTTCATTTCTCTTGGGTAAATACCTAGGAATGCGATTGTGGGGTCATGTGATAAGTATATGTTTAAATGTGCAAGAAATTGCCAAACTGTTTTCCACTGTGGCTGTATCATTTTGTATTCTCCCCAGCAATGTATGAGAGTTCCAGTTGCTCTACATCCTCACTAGCAGTTGGCATTGTCTGTTTTTAGGAGGAGAAAGCAATGATTTGTTGTTTGTATGTAAATTATTTTTTAATTAACAAAAGTCATACATGCTTTTTCTAAAAATTGTTGGGCTTTGATACTCTTGAGAGTAGACAGGGACTATGCATTTAGACCAAGCCACTCTTTGGATGCTTGAAGACAAGAGACCTGCCGCATTTCTGATTGTCAGTAGAAAACTCTGACATCACCAAACAGGCAACAAAATGGAGTTTGTTTCAGGAATAGTTTAGTTTTGTGTTTTGTTCCTTCCCAAGAACCTGGACCCTTTCCTGGAGTCGTGGACATTTATGGAGCTGGCGGTGGCCTTCTGGAGTACCGAGCTAGTCTGCTGGCTGGGAAGGGTTTTGCTGTGATGGCTCTGGCTTATTATAACTATGAAGACCTCCCCAAGGGCATAGAGACCCTCCACCTGGAGTACTTTGAAGAAGCTGTGAACTACCTGCTCAATCACCCTGAGGTTGGTTCTTCTCTAAGCCTTATGAACTACATACCTGTGGAGTCTCATCCTCATTAATGATCTTGGTTCTCATAGAACTTGGCTCATTCATGCCAAGCACTCTGCAGCCCCCATACACACTACCTTTTATGGATACTTATCATAGACAGTTTGTATACAGTTGTATATTACTTTATTTCCTGCTGGTAAAGCTGTTCCTAGTTGGTATTGTTGTTATTGTTAAGGGGCTGTCAAGTTGATTTTTTGACTCCTAGTGATCCCATGTGTCAGAGTAGAACTGCCCCATAGGATTTTTTTAGGCTGTAATCTTTACAGGAACAGATTACCAAGTCTTTTCTCCTGCAGATCCTCTGGTGGGTTCAAACTGCTGACCTTTTAATCAGCAGCTGAACACTTAACCACTGCACTTAACAGGGCTCATTTAGTTGGTATCATGGAATTTAAAATTCCAGTGTCTTATCATATTTAATGGTGAGCCCAAACATATTTGAAAACCTTAGGTTTGACACAGGAAGTAAGGGGAAAGAAGAAGGAAATCACTTTCTCCAGAGGCCCCACATTACATGTTTGTGTTTAGCAGCCCTCTCCCATTTTGGGTCATGAACATGTGAGAGCACAGGATGAAGGTAACTTTTAAAGGAGGAATGGGGCAACCAAAAACCCTGGGTACTAGGAAATATTTTGAGCATTCTAGGCTCAGGGTACTACAGAATCAGAAGATAAACTTTGCTTATTTTAGAATTAAGTCACAACTCAAGGTGGAAAGAAGCATGTAGAAGAGGCAATAGGGTATAGTGGAGCCAGAGAGTATATATTTTGTTGTTGTTATGTGCTGTCGAGTCGGACCCGACTCATAGCGACCCCTCTTTGGGTTTCCGAGGCAGTATTACTACGGAAGTAGATTGCCCAACCTTCCTTTCGAGGTGGGTTTGAACCGCCAGCCTTCTGGTTAGCAGTCAAGTGCCTTAGGCATTACGCTACCAGAGCTCCGAGTATATATAGATAAGTTAAATCTGAGTTTTGATTTTGCTAATTACCTGCTCCATAATTTTGGGACTTCTGTTTCCTTCTTTGAAAAATAGAGATGATAATAATATCATCTAATTCCTAGTACTTCTGTGAGGAATACATGGGTGAAGCCAGTGAAGAAAAGCCATGAAGAAAACAGATTACTGCTGAGAGGTCACCAAACTAGACATTTTGTTGTAACACAGAGGCACTGGTAACTGATGAGAGCAGTCCTTGTGGAACTACCCTTAAGAGGACTGAATAGAGAATGGAAGACGAGGAAAAGAGCAATAACAGACAACTTTTTCACAAATTTTTCTGTGAATGAGAGTAGAGAATTAGGACTGTAACAAGAGTAGATGTGGAGTCAAGATGTGGACTATTACTAAAAGATAAATAGTAGTAGAGCACGACTCAGAATAAGAAGAAACAGCTGCAAACATCCATTACTAATTAGAACATGGAATGTACGAAGTGTGAATCTAGGAAAATTGGAAGTTGTCAAAAATGAAATGCAACACATAAAGATCAATATCCTAGGCATTAGTGAGCTGGAACGGACTGGTTTTGGCCACTTTGGATCAGACAACCATATGATCTATTATGCTTTTAAAGGAGTTGAAGAGAAACTGCATGGCATTCATTGTCACAAAGAATGTTTCAAGTTCTGTCCTGAAGTACAATGTGTCAGTGATAGGATAATATCTATATGCCTATAAGGAAGACCAGTCAATACTACTATTATTCAAATTTATGCACCAACCACCAATACCAAAGGTGAGGAAATTTAAGATTTTTACCAAATTCTGTAGTCTGAAATTGAGCAAATAGGCAATCAAGATGCATTGATTATCACTGGTGATTTTAACGCAAAAGCTGGAAACAAACAAGAATCACCGGTAATTGGAAAATATGGCCTTAGTGATAGGGATAATGCTGGAGATCTTATGATAGAATTTTGCGAAACCAACGACTTCCTCATTGCAAATACCTGTTTTCAACAACACAAACGGCAGCTATACACATGGATTTTGCCAGATGGAGTACACAGGAATCAGATAGACTACATCAAAAGAAGATGTAAGGAATACCCAGAGTCACTGAACAAAAAAGAATTGGTCGATATTCATCCATTTCAGGAGGTGGCATATGATCAAGAACCAATGGTACTGAAGGAAGAAGGCTGCACTGAAGGAATTGGAGAAAAATAAGGCTCCAGGAGTTGACGGAACACCCATTGAGAGTTTCAACAAATGGATACCATGCTGGAGGCACTCACTTGGCTATGCCAAGAGATTTGGGAGACAGCTACCTGGCCAACTGACTGGAAGATATCCGTATTTGTACCCATTCCAAACAAAGGTGATCCTACAGAATGTGGAAATTATCAAACAATATCATTAATATTACATGCAAGTAAAATCTTACTGAAGATAATTCAAACACGGTTGCAGCAGTATATTGACAGAGAACTTCCAGAAATGTAGGCTGGATTCAGAAGAGCATGTGGAATGAGGGATATCATTGCTCATGTCAGATGGATCTTGGCTTCTTGGCTCAAAGCAAAGAATACCAGAAAGATGTTTACTTATGTTTTATTCACTATGCAAAAGCATTTGATTGTCTGGATCATAACCAATTATGGATGACATTGAGAAGAATGGGAATCCCAGAACACTTAACTGTACTCTTGAGGAACCTGTACACAGACCAGGAGGCTGTTGTTCGAACAGAACAAGGAGATACTGCCTGGTTTAAAATCAGGATGGGAGTGTGTCAGGGTTGTAGCCTTTCACAATACTTACTCAATTTGTATGCTGAGCAAATAATCAGAGAAGCTGGATTATATGAAGAAGAATGTGGCATCCAGATTGGAGGAAGGCTCATTAACAACCTGTGATACCCAGATGACACAACTTTGCTTGCTGAAAGTGAGGATGACATGAAGCACTTACTGATGAAGATTGAAGACTACAGTCTGGATTATGCCTCAATGTAAAGAAAATAAAAATCCTCACAACTGGACCAATAAACAGCATCATGATAAATGGAGAAAAGATTGAAGTTGTCAAAGACTTCATATTACTTGGTTCTACAAGCAACACCAATGGAAGCAGCAGTCAAGACATCAGACGATGTATTCCATTGGGCAAATCTGCTGCAAAAGACTTCTTTCAAGTGCTGAAGAGCAAAGATGTCTCCTTGAAGACTAAGGTGCACCTAACCCAAGTGCCTCTTCTACATATGAGAGCTGAAGAATGAATAAGGTAGACCGAAGAAGAGTTGATGCTTTTGAGTTGTGGTGCTGGCAAAGAATGCTGAAAGTACCATGGACTGCTAAAAGAACTAACAAATCTGTCCTGGAAGAAGTACAGCCAGAATGCTCCTTAGAAGCAAGAATAGCCAGACTTCGTCTCACCTATTTTGGTCATGTTGTCAGAAGAAACCATTCCCGGGAGAAGGATATCATGCTTGGTAAAGTGGAGGGTCGATGAAAGAGGGGAAGTCCCTCAACAAGATGGATTGATACGGTGGCTGCAGTGATGGGCTCAGGTATAGCAAGGATTGTGAGGATGGCACAGGATTGGGCAGTGTTTCCAGTGCACATAAGGTTGCTATGAGTTGGAGACAACTTGACGGCACCTAACAATACTAGAGCAAATACTGATAGGAATGAGCCAATAGAGAAGAATGTTATGAAGGAGGAGAGAGAGAGGGGAAGTGATTACAATAGTGAAGTCCTTCAGAAAGGCAGAGTGGATGGGATCCAGAGCACATGTGCTGACATGTGATAAGAACATGGGTATTTCTTCCTTGGAAACATGAAGGAAGGCAGAGAGCTGGAGTTCATGTGGAAGTAGGTAGATTTGTCATTGGGAAAATGAGGAAGAGTTCCTACTGAATAGCTTCTGTTTTCTTAATGAAGTATGAGAAGCTGCAAGTGAGGAGAAATTTAGGTTGAAGGGGTTTGAAGAGTGGAGATTTAAAATGGTCTTTTGGAGAAGAGGAAAGCTAACATACCAGTGAAATGTGGTAGGCAGTGTGGGTGCTCATTTGAAATTTGTGATCATGAAATGAAAGTAAGATCTGTCAGCACAAATGTGTATTTTTTTCCAGCAATATGTTTTGACAAATGCAGACCTGGAGGAAGTAGATAGTGGATTTAAACAGGATTAGCACTTTTCTAGTCAAGTATGACCAAAGAAGAGCTGTATTAAAGAGTTTAGAGTGTTTGCTGATCAATCATGGAAGAACAGAAGGGCAGTATTTGCACAGGGAAATAGCTCAGGGGACAGGAATGCATAGGAAAGAAAGACACAAGGAAGAGGTAACTACAGGGAGGAAGTGCGAAGAGACCTGTTACATTGTGGGGAATTGCAGTCAATGCCATGAAACAAAATGTGTATGAACTGCTGTATGGAAAATGAATTTGCTCTGTAAACTTTCACCCAAATCACAATAATTTTCTTTTTAAAGAGTTTAGAGTGTTTGCAAGGGAGTAACTACAATTATGAAGCATGAAGTCTAAGCTAGATGAGAAGAGAAATTAAAATTGGAATAAGGTATTGATAGTGGGAAAATGTTAGGTCAGGGTTTCAAAGAGGTAGAAAAGTTGCTGGAAGGGGTAGCACTAGGAGCTCTGGTAGCATAGTGGCTAACGCACTTGACTGCTAACCAGAAGGCTGGCGGTTCAAACCCACCAGCCACTCCTTGGAAGGAAGGTTGGGCAATCCTACTTCCGTAGTGATACTGCCTTGGAAACCCAAGGAGGGGTCGCTATGAGTCGGGGCCGACTCGACGGCACATAACAACAACAACAAGAGTAACAAAACTGGAAATATTTAAGATGGCAATCAGAGGGTGAAATGCTTGAAGGTGAGATTTTGAAGGTGATGTAATTATTTGATGATGACTAGGTTTAGAGAGTATGACAGTGAGAGTGGGTGACTTAGGTGGAGTAGATGGCTCTTTGGAGACATGGAGGTCAAGGAACTGAGAGTCCAAGGTACTTGATGTAGCATCCACATGGATGTTAAAGTCACCAAGAACAATGCTGGAGAAATTGTAAAGAGGAAGATAGAGAGGAAGGATAAGTAAGTTTCCCAAGCCTGTAAATTTCAGTAAAACAGTAGAACCACCTGATTTCCAAAGCTGATCACTCACTCTCCTCTTGCCTCTGTCCTTTTCTCAGGTAAAAGGTCCAGGAGTTGGGCTGCTTGGAATTTCTAAAGGGGGTGAGCTCTGTCTCTCCATGGCCTCGTTCTTGAAGGGCATCACAGCTGCCACCATAATCAATGGCTCTGTGGCCAATGTTGGGGGAGTTTTACACTATAAAGATGAGAGCCTGCCCCCTGTGGGCGTCAACCGAAATCGAATCAAGATGACCAGAGATGGCCTTGCAGACATCATGGATGCCCTCAACAGCCCTTTGGAAGGACCTGACCAGAAGAGCTTCATTCCTGTGGAAAGGGCTAAGTGCACCTTCCTGTTCCTTGTTGGTCTGGATGATCACAACTGGAAGAGTGAGTTCCATGCTACTGAGGCCTCTAACCGCTTACAGGCCCATGGTAAAGAAAAGCCACAGATCATCTGTTACCCAGGGGCCGGGCACTACATTGAGCCTCCTTACTTCCCCATGTGCCGGGCTTCCCTGCACACCTTGGTGGGCAGTCCTGTTATCTGGGGAGGGGAGTCCAGGGCTCATGCCATGGCCCAGGTAGATGCTTGGAAGCAACTCCAGACTTTCTTCCACAAACACTTAGGTGGTAAAGAGTAATTCATTCTGAAAGTTTGGTGAGTCAGACTTTAATACGCTAGGAATATCAGCTACAGTTGTATAATACACTTGTGTGTATTATAATAACATTTTCAGGTTTTGATTCCTTTTCTAAATAATAGTATGATTATAAAGAGTTTTCACAAAAAAAAAAAAACAATATCAAGAATGAATGGGGGGAAGAGCGATTGACTCCTGGTATGATGGCGGAATAGGGAGAAAGACTGCACAGACCCTCTTCGACAAAGAAAAGGGGAACCAATTAACACAGACTCAGAAGATAATCCTGGACCCCTGAGCCTTGAAGGGAAGGAGAAGTGGACTAAACCCCAACTAGCAAAAGAATTTGCATGAAAATACCCAAACAGAAGACATATGAAGCTGTGGTCTGGCAGCAATCCTGAGCGAGCCTGAAGGCACAGCACAGACAGCTTAGAGAGTGCCAGGTGGTGGTAGGACCTAAGAATTAAACTAAAAATCAGCCTGCTAGCCAGAGACTGCACGGAGGACTGCTCTGGTGGTTGGGGAATAAAAGGCAAAGCACAGAGAAAGACCGGCTGAGCTGTGGACTTTTGCCTGTTCAGAGGGTGCCGCCATTTTGAATGTTTACAAATGGCTTGACCATTTTGGATATTTAAAGAGACAGCACTTTCCCAGATTCCAGGGGCTTAAGAACAGGTCCTGCTTGCCAGTAACCCCAAGGACACTCTGGACCTGGACGACTGAAAGGTGCGACATTCTCCTTGTTACTCTTATACCCCACACTCCTTGGTGAATGGAGGTGTGGCCATCCCCCACTCCCACCACCCATGTTCTGGGCCCAGAGTAACTCCATCCCAGTCTGTGTGCTCAGGTGGAGCCTGGGTGCCCTGCCCTATCCTCCCCTGATTTTTTTCTTTTTCTTTTTCTTTTTTCTGGTTTTTAGTTTGCTTGTTTTTGTCTGTTTTAAAACTACTATTATTAATAATACTTTTTTCCTTTTTATTCTTTATTCTTCCCCTCCCAGGTCCTAGTTTTCAGCTCTTTTTCTTTTCCCTGTACCTGGTTGGAAATTTTTTTTTTTCTTTTTTTTCTCCTGGTTAACCCTGTTCCTTGTTTTTCTTTTTGCATTTTTCCCATTTTTCCTTCATTATTCTCCTTCTCTACCTTTTTTCTCTTATTGCCCTATCCCCAGATATTGCAGGTTTTCTCGTTTCTTTCTTCTTCTTTTTCCCTTTTTTCTTTTTTTTTGGTTACTGTTCCTATGTGCTTACATGGTGTATTTTTTGTCCATGTGCTTACTGTTTTTTGATGGTTATTCAATTGTAATTTTTGTCTAATTGAGTGGGAGACAGCAACAGTCCCCATAAGACACAACTACACCCACATCTCCTGCAACTTCACTTACTCCCCAAGGGCCACCACCTCCTTCTCCATCAACGGGCCAATGATAAAAAACTACCAAAAAGCGCCTGAATCACCCCTGGATGTTCTTCACAAACAGTTAACAGAGATCTAAATACAACAATGCCACAATGTCTCAGAGACAACAGACCATCACAGTCCACACAAAGAAGCAAGATAAAGTGGTAGAAACAAGGGAGCAGGATACAGACCCAGAACACATC